ACACACACAATCACCACCACACACACACACACACAACCACCCCGCGCGCCAGCCCACACGCACCACACGCCCGCACCGCACGCGCACTGGAAACAGCACACGACACAACCCAACAGAACAACGCACACGCACACGCCACTACGCCCCCTACCCCACTCCCACGCTCACGCTTCCACGCACCCGCACTACATCGAACGCACACTGCACAAATTCAAAAATAACACCACGCACCCACTACACACAACACAAAACACACACGCGCGCACGCACGCACGCACCCACGCACCCACCCGCACGCACGCACTCACGCACGAAGGCACACACGGACGCACGCACGCGCGCGCGCTCACGCGCACGCTCACGCAACACACGCGCGCACAAACGCACACACACACACACACACACACAACACACACACACGTGCGCATGCGCGCGCAAGCGCACGCGCGCGCGCGCGCGTGCGCACCACGTATACGCACGGAAACACACACCCACACACACACACACGCGCACACACACACACACGCACACACACACACACACACGCACGCACACACACACACACACACCCACACACACACACACACACGCGCGCACACACACATTCACAAAGTTTCGGCTTGGGAAAGAGCATGTCAAACCCTTGCTGCTGCTTGTGCAATGGCGTCGCGGGCAGTGGGGTTTATGCCAGCCCGCCCCACCGGCTGGGGACACCAGCAAATGGCAGGACTGAGGCTTCCATTGCAGCGAAAACCATTGCTTGCTTGCTTGCTCGCATGGAAGAAAGCAAGCTGAGAGCGGCCAAACGCAACACGTTGGTCGCGTGTTTGGAAGCCTGCGGCCAAAACGTTAGCAGGTGAGCTAATCAGGTTTCTCACAGGGCATTTCAGTTTGGAGCTTGTTGCGCAAGCGCTGAGCGTGCAGCGCGCAGTGCGTGCAAAGTCGCACGGCGCTGTGTCCCTTGCCGACTCGATCACACGGTTGCGGCTGCTCCATAAGCATTTTTTTGGCGTGTAGGCCACAGCTCCAACTTGGTTCCCATGGCATTGGCTAGATCACAAATTGGAAACCCTGGATTTGCGACGCTCGTGATGCAACGTGCTAACTGCACTCTGGCCTACGACATCGCCCTTCTCCCTGCAGGCAGCCGCTGCTTGCGCGGCCTTCTCAACCGCATCCTGCCACTCGCATTGCGTGACGTCACATGTTGGCCGGGCAGCAGCGGCCCAGTTGCCAGCACTTTGGCTGTCATTATCCATGCTTTGCTTGAAGCCTCAAGATCATTCTGTCCGACGTTCAGTGCCCATTAGCGTTGCCAATATGTTGCATTTCCCAACCCAAGTCAACTTTACAGATTTGCGGTGAGGAAAGCCAAGAGAAAATCACTCCAATACTCCCGTTCTCAGAATCAAAGGTGTCAACAAGCACAAGTGAGACCATTACTTGCCACTTCAAAGCAATCAAGGCCTATCAAGGACTTAAAGCGCGCAAGTAACAAATGATACATATGCGCCCGGACTTCAAGCAAATGCTGTCAAACTTCCCGTGTCCCGCTGACCAAGCTCCTGCGCCAGGCTTCTTTATAGTTGTTCGGACTTGTTTGTACGCACTCACCCCCCCCCCCGACCCGCCGCTTCTCAACAGGGTCGTCAAGCGCCCATCCAGTGCCATCCAGCCCGCCCTCGCGCGGCCTTTGCTTCGCCTCCACTCCGCCTCCGCTAGCCTGCGCCGCGCCTCTGTGCTCCGCCCTTGCAGCGCCTTCCAGCTCCGCTCCGCTCCGACGTAGAGTGAGCAGCTCTGGCTGCAAGAGTCTGCGCAAGTTCTGCGCGCAAGTTCTCTGCGCTGATCTCTGCACAAAATCCAAGTCTCCCCGCGCTAGACTAGCTCGGCGACCTTCATCCACGGATCGGCTTGCTTGGCAGGACGTCCTTCGCATTCTCAGCGTTCAGCATTGTCAGCTAACGGGGCGCTCAAAGTTTCAAGGTGGCCCGAACTTTGTTCGCGACCTCGCGGGCGCTGTCTCCGCATTCGGCAGAGAAGCCAGATTTGCAAGGCAAGGTGGTCAGGCGCAGCCTCTGCAGGAAACCGGAGGCAATTGCAGCCTTGCCATGCGGCTTGCGGCGGCAGAAGCGAGACTGCGGGAGGTGGCAACGTCGGGGCTGCCACTTTCCAGCACGTTTGGCTTGCGGCGCGCGAACGCAGGAGCCCAAGACCCGTCTCTACATTTGCGAGCCTTGTCCCCCATCAATGCGGCGCGCAATGTTCGCGGACTGGCAAGCACATGCGCTCAAGACTGCCGGCTGGCTTAAGCGTCGAAGCTGCAAGCGCAAATCTGATTCACCCGGTCTTCTTCCCAAACCCCTACCCCTTCCAGGCCAGGAAAGGCCTCCCAAACAAATCGTACAAAGGGTGATGGGTGATGCTCACTGCTCCCATCTTGACCGCTTCAATGGGACCAGAGACAAACTCAGCAGGGTCTTCTTTCCCGCTGATTACCCCAAGCCCGTTCCTTGGCTGTGGCTTCGCTAGATGGTAGGTAGGGACAGTGTGAATCTTGTTGAAACATTCAGGCGTGTCACTAGTTAGATGGCGAGGCATTTGGCTACAGTAAGAGAGTCACGCTTGAATGAATTTCATCACTTTGACATTCAGAGCGCTGGGCAGAAATCACACTGCGCTAGCACCTTCTACAGCCATCGCAATGCATTGTTTCAACTCAACAATGGGATGGTCGTTCGCTGCAGGGAACGCCCCCAAGTCCGGCAGTCCTCGCCATGCAAGATCCCACTCTCCACCGGAGGCGTCAACATGCCCCCGGAACTCTCACAAAGAGAACTCCTTTCGAGCCAGGCAAGAGGGATGAGCGGCGGCCCAACCTTGCACAAGATTCAATTCAAGGTTGCGATGCGAGTGGCCGAATCGTTTTGCACCATCTAGCGTTAACTTTCTCGCTTCCACAAGCAAGGGCTTGAGCTCAGCTGTGCAAGCACGAAGCATGACAAAACAAATGGCTTCACCATCCCTACGGTTGCAACCGCTTCTGCACAGCCACACAACGTCAAGAAGGCCACCTCAGCCCCCAGCCGATGAGGGCAGGTATTGTTTACATGTACATATATTAAAATCTACAGACTGCTACCCAGGCCCCCAAATCTCCCAACTATATATTGGAACCAAAGGGGGGGGGGGCCATTTGGACGACAACCAAAGCGGAAAGTCTGGGACCCCGAGAACCCTACTAGTACACATGTCTTCTCTGAGAAAGTATGTGTATCTTGTCCTTCGGGCTCTTCCGTGTTTCTTATTCGATGGAAAGGGGCATTCAACCAGCGACATTCAACCATATGCAAATGTTTGCTTCTCCAAAAAGGTTACGAGGAAGGACCCATCCTGGCTTGGTTTTGAAATAGAATATTTTGTACTTGCCAGCTTCTTGGGAAGGTTGTCTGGTCAAGTTCGCAGAGCTGATTTGCGGCAAAGATCGAAAGTGCCCAAACAAGTGCCCCACGACTTGCCGCTGTGGAACAGTGTACGCGGGATCCTTCAAGGAGTCATCAGGGAAGTGGGAGGTCTCCAAGCGTCCAGATGATGCAGCTAGGGAGGCGACGCCAAGCACAACAGTTGTTTTCATGCTTGCGCCGGTCCTCGTAAACTTTGCGACGTCGGGAACATGTCGCTGCAGGTCGGGCACAAAACTCACGGTCACCCCCCTTGGTGGCTATGGCACCCAGCTCCTTCTTTTGGCTAACCAACAGCTTGAACTGTTACCACATCAGTTTTGAAGGCAGCACAAACGGGGGGTGAGACTGCAAAGGTATTTGATCCCCCACTCATAAGGGGTAATGCATATATGCACTCTCGAGGGCCCCCCCCCCTCCACATTCGCGCCCTGAAAAATGGGGCAGCTTTCTATGTCCACACTTGCGCCAGGCGATGCACCAACAAAATCCCAAACATATGTGACTGCGCCTCCTCTTGTTTGGACGGTGCCCTGTTTTGGTGGTTGGTTGGTTGTTTGGTTGCGACTCCGAGCAAGACATTTCAACCACGCGTGTGTTCTGCGCAATAGACTTTGACAGAAAACAAGACGAACTAAAGTTTGAACCTTTGGCGCCCAGATCTGCCGGCCAACAGGCCGCGATCCGGCCGCGATCCAGCCAGGATAACAATGATTTCGCCGGTGGAAACGTCTCGTCGCCAGTATGTGCAAAATCTGCTACTGGCCACGGGGGGCGTAAGTGGGTTTTTGCGCGGCCCAGAATCTGCTTCTGGCCCCAAAAGCACAGAGCGCCGGCACAGCGATGCAGATAGCGCACGCTGAGGCAGGCGGCAATGTGCCACGCGCAGCTTTCCACATCCTCGGCGCAGCTCTTCAATAGCCGGGGCACAGCGCGGCTGTCAACACCCCAGGCCCAGGCACAGCTTCCAACTGCAGGCCGTTTCCAACAACGCATGCGCTGCTGTCAACAGGCCTGGCGCAGCTTTCAACAAGCGCAGCCCATCAACTTGCAGAGCTGTCAACACGAGCGCAGCCCATCAACTTGCAGAGCTGTCAACAGCTCAGGCACAGCGCACGACAGCCCAGGCGCAGCTTTCAACATCCCAGGCACAGCAGGCAACCGCCAACCAAAGCGAGCAACCGCCCAGCCACAGAGCCACGGCCGTCGATATCTCAAACATCGCTGTCAACAGCCCAGGCCAACCTTTCAATAGCCAAGGCACCGCGATCAACATCCCAGCTTTCAACAGCAGGCAGCCGCCAACCAAAGCGAGCCACGGACATCCCAAACATCGCTTTCAACAGCCCAGGCCAAGCTGTCAATAGCCCAGGCACCGCAACCAACATCCCCGCAGCTTTCAACATACCAGGCACAGCTTCCAATAGCCCAGGCGCAGCTTCAACTGCCCAGGCACAGCATTCAACATACCGGGCATGGCCTGCTTAAAGATGCACGATTTAAAATGCATAAAGCAAAAATGCACGGGGCACCTGGGTCCCCCCCCTCTATGCATTCTGGAATGGGGGATTGTATGTTCGTGCCAGCCTGGCACAATAAGGCTTTGTAAGAGCTTAAGCTAGTCCTTGGTCGGACCTTTCTTCAACAAATGCTGCAGCCCTGACCATGCAGGTTTCGGATGCTACACTGCAAATGCTCCTGTCGCATCTAGAAGCAAGCTTCTGTCTTGTCCTAGCCGGAGATGTGGTTGCACGCTAAAATGCGAGCTGAAATTAGTTCCATCGCTGAGCGGGTAAAAATTATGCACCCAATTCGGACGGGGCACGCTCAAGCACGTTTCAAGTCCAATGGCCAATGAAGGAAAACAACAGCGCTTGGACACGTGATGAGTGATGAGCGTATTTGGCCAAGGGTAGGTCGCACTGGATCGGGGATATCGGGGCTTGGGCCCCAAATAGTCCACTTAAACCAAGCGCGCACGATCATGTGTGACGGACACGCTTGGGCCGGAAGCCGCACAGCGAAGGCAAAGCCCCGCTAACCGGTCCGGTCTCACTGGTGTGGTGGATCTTGCCACACGCGCTGACTCTACGGTCTGTGAATCAGCCACATCCTCGAGAAGCTTGACAAAACGTCAAAAAATCCACACAAAAGCTAGCTCTAGTATCCTACTAGAGCTCTACACTTGTTGGCATGTGAGAGCCCTTTGTGCTGCTACACTTGCTCTCCTTGGACCTTGGCACAGGATGGGTTAAGCCGAGAACGTAGCCCTGCAGCAGTTTCCTGGCATAGGGACTTTTACGAGCCTCCGCTTGTAGTTCTTCTTGTACCTCATCTGGCCGACGGTTCTGCAAAAGCTGCTCTATTCTGGCCTTCAGCTTCTCCCTCAATGGCTTCCGAGGTCGCTGTACCGCCTGACGCTCTTCCCAAGGATGGTGGCAGTATTTGCAGGCATCGCCGTCCTTGCAGCCCAATGACGAGCAATAGAAAATGCACGGATCACAGGAGCCGGAGCCATTCGGATGTTCCCCACTCCCCTTGCACGGCGTCTCCCCGGCAGAGCCTCAGTGACACAGCGCACCAACGAACAACCAAGGCAAATTTGAGTGGAGTATGCTGCACGTTGGCTTTTCAACTTCCTCTTGCAAATCGTCCCGTGCCCCTGCTGTGCTCAGGTTGGTCAAACCTCGGGCTTGCGACTGCTTTTGCCTTCTGTCGGCAGCTAGGTGGGCCCTTGGATGCCTTCAGCTAGGAGGAACCATGGACACTTGCCACTGGATGTCAAAAAATCACAGGACCTGGGCATGCCTCAGTTGCTGCCAAGCTGCCGTCGTTTCCGCTGTTGTCCGTACTCGGATCCTCCAGCAACTGTTGTTGCAGGGTGTGTTGCACAGTTCGAAACGCGGAGGAAGAAGAACCTTAGTAGCTTTTGTGCGCAACCGCCAAAACGTTGCCCCCATTTGCCACCACGTGATTTGCACCTCCAAACAATTGACCCCACTAGCAAAACTGTCGGCCTGCCACTGCTGCAGACTTCCAATTTCGGCTGCGTAAGGAACAACAAACAGCTCCTTCTCTTCCTCTTCCTCTTTCTTTGCCCTTTTCCTTTCTGTTTCTCCCTCTCCCTTTCTGCCTTATCTTTATCTTCTCCTTTTGTCTTTTCTCCGTCTCTTCTTTTCCGTGTATTCCTCGTTCTTTGTCTCTTGTTCTGTCTCTTTCCCTTTCTCCTTCTTTATCGTTACTTGATTTATCTTTCCTTGTTCTTTCTCTTTTTCTTCTCTATCTCTCTTTCTCTACCTCTCCTCTTCCTCCTTCTCCTCTCTCTTGCTCTTCTCCTCTCTCTTTCTCTCCCTCTCTCTTTCTCTCTAGCTCTCTGCCTCCTCCTTTCTTTTCTCTTCCTCTTGTTCTTATCTGTCTCTTGCTCTGGCGTTTGTCTTTCTCTTGTCTCTTCTCTCTTTCTCTCTTTAGTTCCGCCTCTTCTTCTTCGTCCCTTATATTGCCATCTATCTTTCTCCTTTTCCTTCGCTTTCTCTTCCTCTTTGTCTTCCCTTTTCCACTTCCCTTTCTCTTGCTCTGCCTTTTTTATTGCTGTTTGCTCCTTATCTTCCTCTTTCCCTTCTTCTTTCACTTCCTCTTTCTGACTTGCTTTCTCTTGCCCTCCTCTTTCAAAAGAACATATCAAAAGACACTGAGTTTTCGAGGTTGACCCCCGAAAGTCCGCAGCCCAAAACCAATGAGTTGTTCAAGGTCAACCGATGAGTTTTGAAAACAAACGGCCAAGCGCGTCCGGGCAATGTGCGCTTTCTCTCGTCTCGCTCTCTCTCTCTCTCTCTCTCTCTTTTCTGCCCCTCTCTCTTTTTTCTTTCCCTCTCTGTCTCTCTCTCGCGTTTCCTGATTCTTCTTCTTCTTCTTACTCATCTCCTTTCTGCTTCTATTTCTCAGTCTCTTGCCTTTCCCCTTTCTCTTTGTCCGTCTTTGTCTTTCTCTTCCTCTTTCCATTTCTCGAGCTTTTTTATCTCTCTCGCTCTGTCTCTCGCCCTCTCCACCGAAATGGCAAACCCTGAGTTTCCGAAGGTCACCCCCCGAAGCCTGCAAAGCATTCCGCAAGCAAAGTGGAAAACCAACGCGTTGCTAAAGGCCAACAATGCCAACCCCCGAAAGGGCGCGCGGCCGTGCCAATGATCCCGTCTCCGCACTTGTTTTCTGTGAGGCATCGCGGCCAAAGTGGTTTGCGCACAATTGACAAAGCCGAATTCATTTAGTTCCAGCACTGCAGCTAATTAATTTATTTGAATAAATATAGTGTTCAAAGAATTCAAAAGCAGGGGGAAGGTGAATTCATTTAGGCCAAGCACAATCTTCCACGCAACTGTATTTGGTGCCTTTTGACCACATGGTGACGGGCATTCGCACATGCCAATGCCTTCTCTGCTTTCGCCAGGTCACCGGAGGAAGAATGCTCTTCACGCCTTTGTCCCCCTTCACGCGGAAGGGCCATCAACCCTTCATTGGTGCATTTGCCAGCCTCTGTACGATTTTCTTGAGTAAATGCGGTGGCGTGGGCGAAGCGGGCGGTTGACCCGCCTGCTTTTTGGAAGAAGAACTCTGGCACGAAGAAATGTAAACACATGATCGATGTATGGGCAAACACGTTCACATTCCAACTGGTGTAGACTCCGCACTCCATCTCTGACGAGCCTGCCCACAAAACAACTAGGCTTGCACACGTAAAGCCCTTCAGGCCTCTGAGGTCTGTCATCCCCACTTTCTTTAAGAACTTTGCCCGGCTGTTGCGCAACCCAACTTTTGCTGATGCGCGGCCGGCATGCCTTTCGTCTTGCGCTGGCTGCTGGTTTGTCGAAGGCATCCACAACTGCTTCCCTCCGCCGCCTATGAACATGTGTCCTGGTGAAATTGCGCTGTAGAAGCGAAACGCTTCAGCTTTCGTGAAACAGGAATGCCACTTGGCCGTGTTTCCAGGGTAGCAGAGCCTCAAAGAGCCTTGAACCCCTTTGGGTGCCCATGTCCAAGACCAATTGAATGCCTTTCTCTTCAAGAGTTTTGGCTGAGCCTGGCCAAGAGTAAAAGGGCTGGCCTTGAAACCTTTCCGCCGAGCCCCCAATGGTTTGCCATGGTTTGGCATGGTTGCAGCTGCACCTATGACTTGTCAAATAGATTCAATGGCAGCTTTCACCATCCGTCGCGACTCACTCCCTCAACATGGCCAACCCAAAAAGTCGCCCAGGGAAACAAGGCCATGCTTGTCCAAGGGTTCAGTTTCGAAACTGCATCAAACTGAAAGTGGGCTCACCAGAAACGCGACCTCGCAACCTAGCTGCAAACTAACTCCATAGTTCTCTTGTGATTAGCACTCTCAATTTTAAAATATAGTGCGCTATGAGCAAGCATACTGAACAAATGCGTGATGCACGTCGTTTGGGCAACTGCAAAGCTGCAGAAAATTTCAACTCGTTGCAGCTAAATTGAATCACTGCTAGGGTGATGCCTCTAGATTCCCTCATCCTACTGCAGACAAAGTAGACGCTTGCCATTGCTTGCTCACTCACGAGCCTGTGAAAGCGGCACAGGCCCTTGGCAGCTTGGAATGGAAGCTTGAATAAGTTTTTACGCTTGGAATTTGGGGTAGCTGTTGATACCTGCAACTTTAAAAGGAAATTGCAAATGCCCGCGCACACGCACGCGCGCGCGTGCGGCCCCCCCCACCCACCCACCCACCCACCAAAAGAACGGCAGAAACCCGCAAATACGCAATGCCAACACTAGACACAAGCGGCAACACAAACAAACAGACAAAACAACAAACAAACAAACCAACCAACCAACCAACCCAACCCAACCCGGTAACCCAACCAAACCAACAAACCAACAAACCAACAAACCAACAAACCAACAAACCAACAAGCAAACAAACAAGCAAACAAACAAACACGCAAACACACAAACACACAAAAGCACAAAAACACAAAAGCTAGAACTCACCATCACACAACTACACCAACACACACACACAAACACCCACACACACACACAGACACCCACACACACACAAACACACAAACACACAAACACACAAACACACAAACACACAAACACACAAACACACAAACACACAAACACACAAACACACAAACACACAAACACACAAACACACAAACACACAAACACACAAACACACAAACACACAAACGCACAAACCACAAACAACAAACGCACAAACGCACAAACGCACAAACGCACAAACGCACAAACGCACAAACGCACAAACGCACAAACGCACAAACGCACAAACGCACAAACGCACAAACGCACAAACGCACAAACGCACAAACGCACAAACGCACAAACGCACAAACGCACAAACGCACAAGCACAATCGCACAATCGCACAATCGCACAATCGCACAATCGCACAAACGCACAAACGCACAAACGCACAAACGCACAAACGCACAAACGCACAAACGCACAAACGCACAAACCCACAAACGCACAAACGCACAAACGCACAAACGCACAAACGCACAAACGCACAAACGCACAAACGCACAAACGCACAAACGCACAAACGCACAAACGCACAAACGCACAAACGCACAAACGCACAAACGCACAAACGCACAAACGCACAAACGCCCAAACGCCCAAAC